CTCTTGGAGGAGAGACGAAACTTTTCATTAGAGAAGAACTCGTCCAGAAGACCTATACAATTTTTTTTCTTTTTGATCAGTGGGACTATTTTTTATGAAAACAAGCTGTTTGTTGTCTGATGCTGTGGAGAATACAGGTGTGTTTTTTTTAAAAAAAATCATTCAAAAAGACCTTTGAGGAACAGATGAGCATCCAAAATCTCTAGAGAGAGGATCTCTGCCCACTCCTCTGTATTAAAGTGTTCTAGCATCAAACACTTCAGCCGTCTGATAGACGGCTGAAGTGTGTCATGATGCAACAAACACAATGAGCTGCAAACAGCTGKAAATCTACAACAAAAGGAGTGAAGAAAAGAATATGGTCCAACTAAAGTTCAGACCTCAGCCTGATTAAAATGATGTGACCTTAAAAGAGCCACGCAGTCATTGCAAACCACAGAATATTCAATCAATTATGGAAAGAGTAATGAACCAAAATTCCTTCACAACAATGTGAGAGACGTCTAAAACCCTGCAGATCAGAACAACTTCAAAGTATTGCTGCTAAAGCAGAATGTACAAGCTGCTGAATCAGTTTGTCTACACACCTTTTTTAAAATTGGGTTTGTTTTTGTCACTCGAMATGAGGATTGGATATTTAAGAATCTGGTGAAAAACACATATTTTCAGTTAAACTCTAACACTAAATCCTAGTTCTGAAAGAAGGTGGACTTTCATTATCTCATGACTTTAAACTGATAAACTGACTGATTTACTGTTTGACTCAAAAGTCTAAGAATAATGTAAATTTTTAAATGACACATTTCTCTTTGTTTCTGGATAAAATATTTACATCTGTGCACTCTTGACTCAAGGAACACAGAGCATTTCAGGAAGAATGAATGCATTTCATCCAGAAGCTTTGCTCTTATTCAGAACAAGCTTTGCACATACATCCTCACTTCTAAAAAAAAACTAATGTCTTTATTGTCATGAATAATCTTTTTTTGTTTGTCTTCCCCCTCATGACACATTTAAACTTCATGTACTGAATAAAGCTGCAAATATGTAGAAAACAGTCTTAACTGTTAAAAATCAAACCATTTTTAATACAAACGCTGATATGGCACARATTTTAAAAACTGATGAACCAGTTGGAAGGTTGTCTGTTGCATCTATTAGATTCAGTCATAAAGTCCCCCTGTTTTACTCCTGTCATTGCTCTACAKCATGCTGGCTCGACTGGGATAATAAATCAGCTGAACATCTTTTGTTAGAACGCTGTCAGGTTACAATGTGATGCAACAAAATGTAATCAACTCTGTTGCAGAAGCTATCAAAGTAGGCCTTTTTTATATTTGCTAATACATTCTACTAGGTTTCAGTGAGTTGACCATGCTGGAATTGCTTTATTAGGGGTCCAAGCCTGCAGAGCAGGGACACACAGCTGCAAAACAGCAGTGTTTTCATGTCTCCAGCAGAGCATGGAACCCTATTGTATATGTTCCATTTTTTATTGATATATATATTTTTTTCATTGGTAAAACTCATACTGCAGTCCAAACCACTGGAATTACAGAGAACATTTTAACATAGTAGTTAAAAACATTTATGTGTACAGAGGAGAAAAATAATCAGACATGTCAACCTATGGGGGCGCCATAATCAATGTCTGCATTTGGTCCTCTGGCATCTAAACCATAAGTCACATTTTTTTTTTGACTTATAGCAACATAATCCCTGGACACCACTGCGCCACATGGTATTGGCCACTCCCATTTCCGCCTAAACTTAATTTTTTTCTACAGCAAAAAATTTGCAAAAACTACTTTTGGCTTTGTTTTAAAGATTTAAAGTCCAATCACCACAAACCTCACCATCCTATATCTAGTTTGTCCTTTTTTTCTGTTGATATTTAAAATACCAACTTATTGACAAAACTGATGCGAAGATTCAACTCGGTACATCTGAAAAACAGCAAATCAATTAAGATACGTTTAACTGCTTTGCCAGAATGTTAGCAGAATCTTAAAACAATGAATGCATAGCTGTAGAGTATTTTGACTGACGTTACAGTATATAAAGAACTGATGGGATGGCTCATCTAATACTGAATGTGTTCAAGTTATAAAAGGCAGGCTTCACAGGAAAAAGAATGTTCTTTGCAGTTTGTTCAAATATTTTTATTTTATTGAAAATATTGTAAAAGATTTGTGGTGAGCACAAACTAAAAGCTTGCTAAACGTGTTGTTAAAGAACCTAAAGTACTCCATATAAAAACCCTTCTAAAATAAATATGTATTAAAAACTGTTGGGGATTAGYTTATCTGTACGGAACTGTTTTCTGTGTGAACACAACAAAAAATACTTTGTTTAAAAATGTTCACTTAAGTTTTGTGCAGATTTTTACTCCTGTAGTCTGTTGTTATTTTAGTGCCACACAATGATTGTAAGAATGATTTATCCTCATCAAGCTTTTATCTTCAGGCATCACAGTGTAAGAGACAAGATAAAGCAGTGGACACATTAAATGTGTTAATGTGTTGATTGCACTTTAAATGTGAGTTTTGTTTCATATTTTCAGATATATTTAGCAAAAATTCATTTGCATTTTTGTATCTAATTTTGGACCTTTTTTTTTTTACATTATTTGAAGCCATAAGCTAAGCAAGCTGTCAAATATGCAATTTTTCTGTTTTTCATTTGATTTAACAAAATTTTGACATCATTAAAATTATTGTTTTAAGGTAAATGTAACGCATTGTGATTTTTATAAAAACACATTTACATTTGATTTTAGCCCAAACATTTGCTTTAACACAGCTTTAAGTTGCTCTTTATTTCCAGAGGAAGAAATAATATAGTCAGGTTTATGCTCCGTGATTTATATTTTCACTTACTCTTCTTTCCTTAGACTTTGTTTACACTTTTTATAAAACTGACTCATTATCAGTTGCATGTCAAGACTGTCTGAAATGTACTCATCATTGTTTAACTGTTAACAAACAACTCGTAATTACTGGCAACAAAACATYACACTGCTAATTTCACTCATTATGTAGAAATGATACTATAGAGTTATTGTAGTGAATAATGCGTATCAAAATGGAAATTAAAAACGTTGAAAATTTGCATATTTTAAAAGCTCTTTCA